CCCCCCCCCACTAAATTCTTTGACTTTCCCATATCCTGTTTCTATTAAGTCCCGCTGATAATACCTCCTGTTTCAGCACAATAGTCTTTCCCTCTTGATCAATAAGACACACCCCATGGTCATTATTAGAGCCTTTCTTGTTGTTTGCAATCAGAGAATAGGATCGATGTATGCAAGCTCTTTGCAGCCCAAATTGGACTACGTTTTAGTTAGGAACTCTGCCAGACATTTTCAGAGGGCTCTTTAAGTTGTGTAAGCAGTAGCTGCCTTTAGGTGCAATGAGCTTCTTGTGCCTGCATAAAGCTAGAGATTGCTTGATTGTGCTTGCTGAGGTGCATTGGGTGCGATGAGGATGACTGGTAAATGTAAGCACCAAGCACAAGAAGCACAGTGCAGCAGTTTGTCTTTGTGTTTTCAAGGCAAGGCTCCATTAAGTGGAGAGGAAAACCTAGTGACTGCCTGTATTAAGTTTTGCATTTGTTAATCCCATTACAATTTTAATTTGGGCTGAGGGAGAGGGGCTCTTTGTTTTTTACTTAAGAGGATGGACAGTGAGCTGTAGGACTCCTTCAGAGAAAATTATTGAATTGGAATATTTTTCAAAAGATGCTGCTGGAAGCTTGAAGTTTTTAATACTCTGTCAGTGATTTAAACAGTCTTAATTGATTCAAAACATGACTGACCTTTGCTAGGATAATGATCTTTACATAACATTAAGATTTTTACAGTGCTAAAAGGAGGTAGTAGCTTAAATACAATTTATTTTCACTAGAATGACATTTTTCAACAACAGGCATATATTCATTTTCATTTTTTTTTTAAAAGAAGAGATCACTTTACTCATAGAATTAAAATATAGAATAGAATACAAGACAGATGACACAAGAAATCTCACCTTTTAGTTGTGTGATCTTAGGCAAGAATTTTAAATGATTAGAGGCCCATTAGGTGTTGTAAAGATTTAAAAATATAGTAGTGTACAAATCATTTTTTTCTGATTCTTCCACCAATCCTACAGCGCGCCCTTTCCCCCATTTTATGTGAAGCTGAGGAAACCAGTACTAAGATTATCAAGAGTGCACAGTATATTCCACGTGTCGAGAGCTCTTATCTGTACCAGTGTACATGTTCCGGTCTAGCTGGATTTGAAAGGTAGAACTGGGGTCATGATAGTGGGGGAGGGGAGGAAGCATTAAAGAACTAGAGGAATGTTGT